GCAGCCGCAAACCTCAACCTATGGCGCATATCAAGCAATTCAGCTTTTTCTCGTAATATTAGGACTTTTCTCTGCTTCTTGGGAGCACTTCCAGCATCATAATGGCACTTCATATTGGTCCCCTGGTGTTATTCAAGGTTTACAATATTGCACTAAACACAATGAAAAATACAGGAGAACTGTGTAAGAGATCTCGTTTTACTGCTGTACGCAACTTACTGGAGAGACGAACTGCTCATGTGGTATTTTAAGTGTGTACAACACTGGAGCTCACTGCAATAGCACCAACAGGTGGCTACAAAATGGTTATAGTAGTACAGTATGTACTACAGTTACTTTTTAAAAACTTTCAGAATATTATGGGGTTACAAACACGTTGGTTACATAAATTGCCTTTACACCACCCTTGTCAGAGCTACAAGCATGTCCATCTTCGAGACAGGGCACCGCACCCATTAGGTGTGAGATTATCCATCCCCTCCTGCCCCTCCCACCTGCCCAACACCGAATGAGTGTTACGTCCATATGTGCACTTAAGTTTTGATCAGTTAGTACCAATTTAATGATGAGTACATGTGGTGCTTGTTTTTCCATTCTTGGGATACTTCACTTAGTGGTATGGGCTCCAGCTCCATCCAGGATAATACAAGAGGTGCTAGATCGCCATTTTTTTTTTTTTATGGCTGAGTAGAATTCCATGGTATACATATACCACATTTTATTAATCCACTTGTGTTTTGATTGGCACTTGGGTTGTTTCCACATCTTTGAAACTGTGAACTGTGCTGCTAAAAAGATTTGAGTGCAGATGTTTCTTTACAGAATGTCTATTTTTCTTTTGTGTAAATACCCAGTAGTGGGATTGCTGGATCAAATGTAGTTCCGCTTTTAGTTCTTTGAGGTATCTCCATACTACTTTCTATAGAGGTTATACTAGTTTGCACTCCGACCAGGTCTGATAAAATTCGGGTGTGAAACCATCTGGTCTGGGACTTTTTTTGT